TTTTTTTTTTTTTTTTTTTTTTTTTTTTTTTTTTTTTTTTTTTTTTTTTTTTTTTTTTTTTTTTTTTTTTTTTTTTTTTTTTTTTTTTTTTTTTTTTTTTTTTTTTTTTTTTTTTTTTTTTTTTTTTTTTTTTTTTTTTTTTTTTTTTTTTTTTTTTTTTTTTTTTTTTTTTTTTTTTTTTTTTTTTTTTTTTTTTTTTTTTTTTTTTTTTTTTTTTTTTTTTTTTTTTTTTTTTTTTTTTTTTTTTTTTTTTTTTTTTTTTTTTTTTTTTTTTTTTTTTTTTTTTTTTTTTTTTTTTTTTTTTTTTTTTTTTTTTTTTTTTTTTTTTTTTTTTTTTTTTTTTTTTTTTTTTTTTTTTTTTTTTTTTTTTTTTTTTTTTTTTTTTTTTTTTTTTTTTTTTTTTTTTTTTTTTTTTTTTTTTTTTTTTTTTTTTTTTTTTTTTTTTTTTTTTTTTTTTTTTTTTTTTTTTTTTTTTTTTTTTTTTTTTTTTTTTTTTTTTTTTTTTTTTTTTTTTTTTTTTTTTTTTTTTTTTTTTTTTTTTTTTTTTTTTTTTTTTTTTTTTTTTTTTTTTTTTTTTTTTTTTTTTTTTTTTTTTTTTTTTTTTTTTTTTTTTTTTTTTTTTTTTTTTTTTTTTTTTTTTTTTTTTTTTTTTTTTTTTTTTTTTTTTTTTTTTTTTTTTTTTTTTTTTTTTTTTTTTTTTTTTTTTTTTTTTTTTTTTTTTTTTTTTTTTTTTTTTTTTTTTTTTTTTTTTTTTTTTTTTTTTTTTTTTTTTTTTTTTTTTTTTTTTTTTTTTTTTTTTTTTTTTTTTTTTTTTTTTTTTTTTTTTTTTTTNAAAACAAATCCCAAAAATACTATCTAAGAATTAAAAAATCTTTTATAACTTTATTAGCAATCTAAAAAAAGATGTCGATTCAATATTGTAACGTTCTATTTCGAGCAGCTTTAGTTTCTTGCCACACTTAGCGTGACGCAGGCTCCCGCTCAATTAAGGTCTTCGATGCACTAAATGAGCTACTCTGCGAATAGAGCATTTACAAAAAAATTTACAAAAAAAAATTACAAGCGCGCGACTGCATCGGAGTTGACTGTCATTCTGAGGGACAAAACTGAATCATGGCTCACGCTATGGAAAAAATGTTCACGCCTCATGGCTATTTTTTTCGCATTTTCACGACTAACGGCTAATTTTTCAGCCGTTTCACGGCTCACGGTTAACCCAWTTGAGACCCTCCTCTTTGGCTCTTGGCTCTACAATATAGTGATTCCTAGAGGATTAACGTTACTTCAATAAGAAGATTGTGTTCAAGTGACTTTGTTTAATTCTTACCTTGTCCGATTTTTAGGCGGTTTCGACGGCGCAATGTATTGGAGCAAAAGCATACGTCGAATGCTGTGCAAAAACTAGATGGAATATCAAACAAGTTTTCCAAGAAGCTGCTGATGCCATTGTCTCTAAGGAGGAAGCCAGTGAACCAACCTCTAAACCACCCTCCATGCTTAGAAGAATTTCTCGTTTTGCTAGGCGTGGTTCCGCAGCTGACGCGAGTGACTGTAATGGGCATGCGCAGATGGTATCTCCACGAAGACTGTCTCTCTTTTCAACATGAAAATGGTTTTTATAGCTTGTTTTTCTGCGGAAGCTCAGGAAAATAAGATGCGAGTATATACTTGGTGGTAGAGGAGAGCGAATAGATGCATTTTCTCCCAATGGTATCAGACATCTGATCATAGAGCCATCAAACAGAAACGAATTACCGGCCGTTGCCCCATAACGCAACCGTACTTCCAAATATTAGATAGCAGAATGTAGCATTTAATTGCGCTCTCTCTTGTGGTGACTCTCACTACTTAAGCACTATAATGGAGTAGAAGGCAAGTGCTGTTGTGGTGATACGGCGTCCGCATGAAACTATGGCAGCACATCAAACAGCAGACGTCTGGTAATAGACTAGAAGCCTCCCCTGCAGGCATCTCTTTTCTTTACAAAAACTACGGGCTTCCTGTTCTACAATGTAGCTCAACAAGAGAGCGGTACTGGTAATGAGGCAGGAAAATTTTCTTTTTCCTCCCCAATCCACTCGCTTCCGTTTTGTTTTCAACACTTGGAAATGGAAATATATAAAAACTGTTAAAGCGAGATGCCTACTGAATAGAAAATAACTTTTCATAACTTGGAAGGCATGCGCACTAAAGCGTGAACAATTCGTGGATACGATGTGAGCTCAACAGGAAACATGGTGATGTATGGTACTTTAGCCGAATGTTGGCCACCAACGCAACAGCGTCAAGAAGAAACTTTTGACATCATAATACATAGACAATACATATAGTTAGAAACAATGAATTATAAAAATTGATAGAAAATCTGATAGAATTATTTAGTTACGCATAGATAAACAACTAATATATGATTGGAACTTAGTCTGCCTTTTTTAATGCCAAAATATTGTTGTACAGTAAAAGCAAATTGCTTCTGTATAAATCACGTGACCACGTGTAGGAAATCTTCTTGAGTATCTCAAGCAGAGCTTGGACTGGGTGAGAGACAGTTCAGCCATGTTTCATCTAGCTTGCCAGATCGTTCTCTGGATCAAAAGGACTATTATCATCATTTTGTCAATCAAATGGAAAGGATTATTGTCATCAAATCAGTACTCAAGCGCGCAGGGCACTGGCAGCGTGTGTAGAGTTTGACGAGCTTGAGTGGCAGCTCATGATTTAAAACTTAACATCGGAAACGCAGTTCCCTGCAAATGAAGTGTGTATTCCTGTCGTTGTAATCATATTAATGACGTGATCTGATTTGCGGGGTCGATGACCAATCTGCACGAATCCTCTACTGATGGAAACATCGACTGCGACGACGCAGATAATCAAGCATAATGAGGAAACTTCCATGACTAAATAGTGTAAAAAATATTAGAGTTGAGTGCCTCAGTCACACATCTACATAAATCTGAATAGGAAGAAGACGACGAAAGAAAGAAGGAAGAAAGAAAAAGAAACTAAAATGTTATGATACGAAAAAATATACAAATTAAAAAAAGTAGATCAAATATAATAAATAAAGCCTACAGTAAATCGCTGTCTACAACAGTTTTGGGCTTCCTGTGCCATCCGGTGGCACAGGAGGCCCAAAATATAAACACGCAAACAGACGGATAGCTGAATACTGGAATGGTATTCATTTCATTTCTCAAAGCAATTCAGTTTGTCACGGCAACGTTGCTAGCGGATTGGGATACGTCGATTTTCTAACTGCTTGTAAAAATACGCGTCTTTTTCATGCCAATTTGCACATTGATTTCCTTCTTTATTTCTATTAGTTGAAAACTTTTAAATAATTATGATTTCACTACACCGGATTTGTTTACTAAAATGGATTCCCATGTTTATTTTTTTCTCTTCTTTTTTCTTGAAGTGGTTCACGTGATCGTCATGCGTCAAGTATTCGACGGGGCATGGGGCTTAAAGTGTTGTCATAACAACTAGTCCAAATTCCACTTGCCATAACAGAAAAGATGGCGGACAAGCAGAAGGTGTCGGTGGTAGGACTCCTAAAAGAGGTGGATTTCCACATGGTAAAAAGCGCTGCAGAGGTAAAAATCCATTAGCGTATTCTTAATATTATTTTCTTTGCTTTGAATCTAATAAAATTGATATTTTTCCAGAAATTACATCAGAAAGAGCCCGATGTATTTGTTCAACCCGATATTGTGGGACTGTTGGAGTGCGATTGGATCAACTTTATAAATCTAAAGAAAAGGGTAAGGCATCTGAGAAGTAGAAAATGAAGTTATTTAGCCAAGTTAACCTTGGTTTCGTTGAGGAAATATTATCTCGTCAGGTTATTTTTGGTGGGAAATGAGGTCGATAGGTTTGTTGACATTCACAGTGAAGAGTACTGCCAAAATTCAATTAGCCTAAGAAAAAAATGATTATCCAGTTACATGTGAAATTGGAAAATCAAAGTTCTTTATACTAGTTTACTTTGGATTTTGTTTTGTTCTGCAATTACAATGACAATAGTGCGATAACGATTCATTATTATTGCTGTCATTCATTGATGTAAATTAGAAATCACGCTTTAAAATAACCTAAAAGATGCTTATTGTACCGTGCAAAAAAAAAAATACATGACTGCATTGTATGCAATGCCATGCGTGTCTAATTCAGTTGGCAGGGAATGAATTGTAAGTTGAACCCTACTAGTAGTAACTTATTTTGTTGCCACAGTACGACATCAATGAAACAAAATTTTCAGTTGTTAACCGATGATGGATATCACACCTTAAGGGCAAAAAGTTGTCAAATTGAGCTTATGTACAGATATTATCTTAATGATATACAGGGTTTATGTCTATGCAACAGTGTAAATATTTAAAGTAGTTGTGTAGGAAATATGGTGATTTGAGTCTTAAAGTTTGGCAATGTAAGCACATGCAAAGCCCCCAGCAGGGACCACCAGCAAATGTTGACATTGTAGTTTTTGATTGGATAAGGGCTAACCACTGTCCATCAATCCTCAGCTTCAAGTGATAGAATTTTTTTTAACATCAAAGTGTCTTTGGTTCCAAGCAATAAAGGGAAAGTACACTATGAAGTGAAATCCATTACCTACAATCATCTTTTTAAATAAAGGAAATGTTATCATAAATCAAACCAATATACATTATATACTGTATGATATTCTTGCTCTCTTTATTATTATTCTTGCTTCCTTCCTTAGTAGATGTAATATTTTTAAACAATTATTGTATTTTAGTATAAGATATTATTGTTGTAACTCTAGTATATTAGTAGACTCTCTAGTATATTCTCATGTAATGTAATATCCTTTTGTACAAAGTTGTACTGCAATAAAGATTATTTATTATTAAAAAAAAAATCATTGATTTGCATAATTTGGCTGGAAGGTATCAGCTCTCTAGCACAAAAATGGCTGCCTTGTTAGACTAGACAGTTGTAACTGACAATGAATTCAACAAGTTCAAGCTTAGATCCAAAAATTTGCTCACCCTTTGGCCTTTGATCRACACGAATTTACACAGTATGCATTTGGATTATGGTTATTGTTACATTGATTTTTCCTTTAGGAAAAGAAAGGTGAAATGTGGTCATTCCAAGACTGTGTTGTAGTTTTTATAGATGGTCAGTTAATTGGTGGAAAAGATGACTTTCTTAAGCTTGCAAATGACACATACAACTGTCAAGATTTTAGGTACATCAGCGTAATAATTTATGTCCTTCAAGTAATTGACAAATTTTAAAAAGATTAAATAAATGTAGAATTGTTGCAGTGCATACAAAACATTAGAACTCCAAAAATGAYATTTTTTGACTTGTCAATGCTCCTGCAATCAATGCATTGAACGAATCATGGAATGCATCTGATACATGACGTGTTGGTGCAGAACGGCATCCTGGAGTGAATGGTRCATTCTTTGCATCCTATATTTTCTGCATAATRTTAAAATGCATATCTCTTTCTTTTTTTTATTTAACTAGACCTGTTTCTTTTTTTATTTATGTAGACCTCTTCCTTTATGGTATGCAATGGCAAAAGAAACATATAAAAACCATTTTGTTGATACAAAGGTGAGTATAATTACACGTAAAGATTCATGTAAAATAGATCAACTATGAGAACATTATGTGTTTGGTCTATGAAAACAAACTTATACAACAACGAGGCTAAAAGAATGACAAGGCATTTTCTGTATCTTTAGCCCATGCTTAAAATGATATTTATGTTAAAATGGGTTGGAGTAGGTAATCATCTTAATTATTAATCATTGAATTGGTTGTTATAATTGTACTGTACTCTTAAGTTCCGAATAATGGTATATATACGCTCATTTATTCTGACCAAATATCCCACCCTATACGGCCGTATTCAGGACTGTACGATTATTAATTGTCACTTTTTTTTCTAATGTGTTCTTACTCTGAAGTTCCGAATAATCGTATATATACGCTTATTTATTTTGGCAAAATATTCCACTCTATACGGCCTTATTTGGGACTGTACGATTATTAATTTTCACAATTTTTTTCTCTGTGCCTACCTTAATTAGTTATTAACAATATCGTGAGAAAAAAAATTGAAAAAAGTTGCCAAAAAGACAGACTTTTTGTCTCTAAAACGAAAACAAAACCGCGAACGAACAGCAAACTAAGAGCACAAATCATCTGGTCAGCGGATTTGATCACAGGGGAAACTGGGGAGAAGTCAGCGGTTTTGCCAAAAAAATGCGGGAAAACTGCCAGTACTGCCGTTTTTTCCACCCTATACTATTATTCCGATCTATACTATTATTGGTAAATTTGTATTTTTCCACTCTATACTATTATTATGCTCTATATGATTATTCGNTTTAATAGTCGAGTGATATCACATTATTAAGCAATAAATGTTTTGCATGCAAATGAGTTTTGTGAGTAAAATAGTATGATGATGAAGTGCACATGTGTCTTCATGCTTTAGTGAAACAGATGAAAACTGATTTTTATTGCTTTTATTTTGAAGATAGAAAATTAGACAAATTAAATATCAATGTAATTTCTATCATCCAGTTTAACTACTTTTGTGACTTGATATCTGTAAATTAAAGAGTCCTTTCAGACATTTCACTTTATCTAAAATTGTCATAGCCTTGTCGTACAAATCTTCGTGAGCTTCTTGCGCTTTGCATGCTACTTCCATGTCTGTTTTTTTTTTGTTGTTGTTGTTGTTTTTTCTTGTTGCTTGGCTCATCTTTGTTTAATACATAGAAAAATCTTTGTACAATTATTAATATCTCRAACCTTCAGCTGTGCCGGGGTTGCTTTTTGCCGCGTTTATCATGTGGTTTAATTGAATAGGTTTTGATGCCTGTACTTGTAGAAAATTGAGGTAGTGGTGAAACTACGACCTTTTTAACAATATTTTTTCATATGGTTGATAACCCTTTCTGGCAAACAGTCCATGTATATTTGAACGACACGAAGACACATTAAAAGTAGAACACGAAAACCTCTAAAGCTTATATAGGAAGCATCTGGAGACATCCGAAATGGTTGATGCCTGTTTTCGTCGAGCTTGTGGCATTTTTGGCCAAATATTAATGGAACGGCACGCATTACATAAAAAGTGTTAAGTTGGATGTTATGAATAGCACAAATTGCAAATTGTGTACATTGGGAAACAGTCAAATATTCACCGTTTAATAATTCTACGCAAATATACATAAATTTTCGAAAAAGAGTTGACTTCCTATAGATCTATTTTGTCACAAAAATCATATTTGTATGTTTTGTATGCTTTGATGATTTTAATCTTTCTCAAAGCATGTAGGCACGTGCGCACGCCATTATCATACTATTTTACTCATTAGCAAAATTGTGAAAAAAAATCTGAAAAAGTCGCCCAAAAGACCAACATTTTYGCTCCAAAATGAAAACAAAAACAGCAAACTAAGACCGCAAATCATGTGGAGACTGGGTAAAAGTCCGATTTTGCCCAAAAAATAGCTTGAATTTTTTTTTTTTTTTCACTCTATACTATAATTATTATGCTCTATATGATTATTCGGAACTTAGGAGTACAGTCATTTGTAAAATAATTCAGACTGCACACATCTCAAAAAATGTTGCCTGGGAAAACAATGATTTTGAACAGGGCATGACTGAAAGGGAATGTGGTTGCACTGGTCGAAACTAGCAGTAAACTATAGTGAGCTTTGTTTGGCGTTTGTAAAGAAAACATTGTTTAAAGATAGATTTAACGCYATAAAAAAAGTAGGCGAAACAACTTGCTGACGCTTCGTACGTTAATCCTAAGTCAGAGTAAAGGATGAAACTAGGCAAATGACATTTTTCATATGATAAACTCAGACGTAAGCTTGGTTTCATCTCTTTACTCCAGCAATTAGGATTAACGTTGGAAATGTCAGTAAGTTGCTTCACTCCCTTTTTGAAGACTGATATTAAATGTATGTTACACAACTATGGAATGTACTGTTTGACAATTATGCMAAAATTCACTTTTTTGGTTCACCTTTAATATGTGAAAATGAGAAGTAAATAGAGCATGTTACATGACTTAATTTTATAAATTAGTTATTTTATGYCATCAGGCATACAATGATGACCATTCAACAATTGCCATTAACTATTGACATTAAAAATCATTCACATTAGTTACTTGAAATGATGTAAAATTATGTTATTCATGCACGATTTGCAGTTTTAAGGGAGTGTACATTGTCACTTCTTTAAAGAATGCAAATCAATGCAAGTATTTTTGACAAACTGAATGTRATCTAATCAAAACCAGATCAATAGGCCCTTTGCAGGGGGTCACGTGACCACACCTACCTTAAATCAATCAGCAATGACAAAATGATGTTCAGAAATGGAAAGTGGAGAACAAAATAAGTAAGAAGACATAGTTTCAAGTCTCAACACTATATACTTCAAAATGGATAGCAAATATAAAATCATTTTTGTTTTTTCTAAAGAAACATATGGAAAAACAGAACTGGAGATGAAGGCTTGCTCTCCAGCTCTATTTTCCCATGTACATTTCTTTAGAAAAATCAATATTTTACATTTGCTGTTAATTTTGAAGTATTTAGAGTTGAGACTTGAGACTTGGCCATTTTACCAACATATAAACCTGCTCTTTCCATTTCTGAACATCATTTTTTGCATGATAGCTGATTGATTTAAGGTAGGTGTGGTAACGTGGCCTCCAGCTGCAAAGAGCCTATTCAGTGTCAGCTACTGACAAGATTAGGAAAAGAACACTCTAACCTCTCGGCCATGCTAACTCCTAATATCCTGATAATATCATAATAAATATTCCATATAATTTATTCTAGTAATATACTAATCTGATCTAACTTAGTTGAAAATTTAGCCATTATTGATAAGATTAAAAAGTGAATTCAAGAAATATTAGTTATTTTTTATGTTCTGCCCTTTTTACTAAAATTGGTGAATTTGGACTATTTTGTGCATATTATAATGTCAGACGCATAAATGTATGAAATGTAGATAGTCACAATTAGTATAACTTGCAGTAARATTAAGAACATGAGGAGATGTTAAATTGAAACTTCAAAGCGTTAGCCTGTTCAGAGCCGGCATTGAGCAGTCGAAAACCCCTGTATATAATAGCTAAATAACGTGACTGAACAATTTACKTTATTTTTGTGAATTGCTTGAATTTCATTGAAACATCCTGGTAAAAATTGGCTGCCTACTGAATGTGAGTGTCCTACGGTAGTTCCATTTGTAGCAGAGGTATAAGCATTTTTATGGCTTAGTAACCTGTTCAAACGCTATTAAATGGAACTAGGAGTGAAATTTAGCAAGAATGGAATAAACATAATGCTTTTTCAGAATGGAATTTGGGCTATTTTAAAACTCAGAGATTTTCTTTTTGTGAGTCATCACTTGAGTCATCTATAAACTTACACCATTATAGCACTGGAGGGGCAAAGGGCGGAGCTCTTCATGATGGAACTTGACATGTAGTAGATGTAGATATTTCAGTGTTATTAATTCCATGTATCAATGTGTTTTTATCACCAGCATAACTTTGTGTTCTTGGAAATAGCAATTGGTAATGAAAGCATTGGAAAAATGATATTAGAGGTATGTAGAGTCCGTTTAAATTGTACAATAATGTATGTAGGTAGTACAAAATTTTCATATACTCCACCATTTGGAAAATAGCTTAAGGGACACTGTCAATGGATGACATGCGCAGTACCAGTCTCACCCTAACGGACTTTGAAAGTATAACCTTCGAGGTAAATCGTTTTGTGGTGCTTTTGACACACTTTGGAATATTCTAGATCTGTTTACGTTTACGAGCTGATTTATGTGCTGTTATGTCGCGCCAACTTGGAGTCATAAACTTGAAAACAGTAGCCTAGTGTTTTCAAGTTTACTCGCGCATGCGTGCCATTGACAGTGTCCCTTTAATTGTTGTTAAAATTTTAATTGTATTCAGGTTCAGAAGTAATGATTTATAGTTCTGGAATAATTTTTTTGAAAATTGAAAAAGTGTATTCGTCTACGGTTGGTGTTCAAAGTCTAATTGGCGATAGTCCAAGGTGAACTSAAGATTAAGTAATTTGTTTCGCCTATATTTAAACGGTGTTAAATTTATCTTTTTACACAACGTAACTCAACATCATTGCTAATCAAGCTTTGAACAATCTTTCGTTTCTTCATTAGCTACAAAACTCATGATGTAGCCCTGTATGCTGYATGTGCAATGTACATTGAATTGCAGAAATGAAAACAAAGAAGGGTGTATCCGGCAACCTACTGTAGACAAACGGAAGCATTCCACTTAACACTTAGTCCCCCATGGGTTCACGTAGCTGACKAACTCTGTACTTTTACTAGTATATATACATTGAACTGTTAATAAGTTCTAAAACGTTCCAATGATCTTTATTCTTGTTTTATCCTCTTTCATTGTGTTTGGCATTCATAATTTGTACATCCATTTCATTTTTACCCAACAGTTAATATCTGATCGGTTACCGAAGACTTGTGAAAACTTTATGGCATTAATACAAGGACATATGGTTGAAGACAAGCGACATGACCCCCCCTTAAAGCTGAGTTACAGAAATACTATCATCCATCGTATTGTACCAAAYGGCTGGATACAAGGGGGAGGTAAGTTAGCATTAATGACGGGTGAAAGAAGGAAACTAGCGATTTGAAGGAACAAAATCACTGAAACCGCTAGTGCGATACGGTCTTTAGTAGAATTTCCTTATATATTTGAAGTGTGGTCGCGAGAGACCAGTGTTGGTATCCCAGTAACCAATATAACATTCATGATCTTTTTTTAATCAGATTTTGAAGGTGGTAGAGGTGTGGGTGGAGAATCGATTTATGGACCTATATTCGAAGGTAAGAACGTCATCAGTTAGCCGTTTAATGGCATCTATTGTGCTATAGTCTTGTTGCTTCTGCTACTGTCGTTGCTGCTGTTGCTGTTGTCGTTGTTGCTGTCGTTGCTGCTGCTGATGTTGTCGTTGTTGCTGTTGTTGCTACTGTCGTTGCTGCTGCTGCTGTTGTCGTTGTTGCTGTTGTTGCTACTGTCGTTGCTGCTGSTGCTGTTGTCGTTGTTGCTGTTGTTGCTACTGTCGTTGCTGCTGSTGCTGTTGTCGTTGTTGCTGTTGTTGCTACTGTCGTTGCTGCTGGTGCTGTTGTCGTTGTTGCTGCTGTTGCTACTGTCGTTGCTGCTGCTTTTGTTGCTGCTGCTTTTGTTGCTGCTGCTGCTGTTGTCGTTGTTGCTGTCGTTTGTCTAGTGTTGCTTCTGCTGTCGTTGTTGCCCCATATTGTCGCCGGAAGAAGAACGAACCTCGAAAGCAGTTCATCAAAGTTTATTGTCTCGACAAGACACGATGCACAACAACCCGTGTATATTTGAAAGACTCTGTTTTGAATCTCGTTTTGTTTGAACAGACGAAGATTTCTCTGTAGCGCACACTAAGCGGGGTATTGTTGGAATGGCTAATAAGGGACGTCATACAAACGGTTCTCAATTCTACATCACGTTACAGCCCGCACCATGGATGGACACTAAATATGTAGCCTTTGGGTAAGTCGTCATGATTTGTATTKCTTTCTTAATCTATAATAGAACCTAGAAAGTTCTATTAGAATGAAGCCAAATAACCGTGAAATAAATATTTTAATGTTAAAAAAAAACTAAAACCTACATTTAATACACATATGCTGGAATTGCATTGTTTTCTTTTGTATGTATGTAAACAGTTAACTGCCTTTGAACGACCACTGTAGTAAGCGACCACCTCCCGTATGCGATCAGCTTTGAAATTTCCCGTTTTGTTCATTTTCCAATATTCTTGGTGCGCAACCACATGACCAGGAATCCCCAGAGAAATAAAAACCAAAGCCATCGCCGCCATGTTGGATGAATGAACAAGAGAAACTAATGAGGAATGCTGTGTGATTTTCATCCAACATGGCGGCGATGACGTAACTTGCACACCAAGAATAAACTCTGACAAAAAAAAAACTTCTCATAAGCGACCATTTGTCGTAAGCGAGCACTTTTTCCTGATACCGAGGTATTTGACTATGACGTCACTTCTACTTCAAATGGCTTCACTCTAGAGAGTGCTTTTAAAAGCGTGAAAGTTTATTGATGGTAATTCTTTTGTTTTCTTTTGTTAAACTATTTTGCACAATTTAGTAATTAAATATTCACGCTTTTAGATTGATTGCAATTAAACGGTGCAACTTAAAGAATGCTATTTAGTAAATCGTGCATGCAGTACGCAAATGAAATGGAATTGACAGAAATGAAAGCATTCAATAGAGTGATCACTCTCAAACCGTACAACTGTACAAAATCTAAGTAGTATTAATTTGTACTAAAAGTGTCCTGAAGCAAGACGGTATTGAATGCTTCATTTGTGGCAATTCAATTGCATTTGCGTACAGCATGCACGATTTACTAGCTACAGCTAAATAGAACTATTCTGTTTGTACAGTTTCCCGGTTCGAGTACGAGCACTGTACCTTCTCTGCTTGCATTATTGATTTATATATTCATTGGTTGATTTTCAGACAAGTCATTGAGGGTTTGAATGTCTTAGATATTCTMGAGAATCAAGAAACCTTCAATGAACGACCAAAGAAATCCTGTTCAATCATAGACTGTGGTATACTAGATGTCAATCAACTATGGAAATAGACCAAACMAGTAAAACCAGTTTTGATGACTGGTTATTGGGACCGAGTTATCATGACTGGATCAAAAAGATAGCCCTAAGTCTAGAATAGCTCATGCCACTTTAACCTTTGCGTTGGGATTTAAATGAATACTTAACGATGTTCCGGCGCTTTTCCTGTTGGAGCCTTGCTAAGCAGCCCTTATAACGGCTGTAACTGTGCCTATCTTTGCATAATCGAGTCGTATAGGTTTAAAGTGATGCGTTATTTTACTATATCAGTCTAAAGAAATYTGTATAGTGATAATAGTAGACGTATAGTACGCACAATCAGATTAGCTGAGAACTGGTGTTCTCGAGTGAAATAGATACGTTACTGAAGGTGGCATCATGTCGTTGGACGAAGAAGTCCGAATGATCTTTTGAAAGCAGATAGAAGAGGATTTCCTGTTTTCAGTTTGGTATCTATTACTGAGAAGGAGAAACGCTCGCCTTCAACTCGTGCTTCTGATAACACGTACTTCTATCATTCTCCTGCAAGTTTTCATTTGTCAATATGTACTTAACGCTTCTCGCTAAGAAATTGTATTTGAATAATACGTTATAGAGTGATTATGCATAGAGACACATGAAATGTGTCCAAAARGATTAATATACGTTGATATTGTGATAGAGCGGATTTCGTATGAGTGGGACACCGTTACCGCACGGTTACCGCACGGTTACCGCACGGTTACCGCACAGTTACCGGACCTGGCCTGCACAATTTTGGTGAACCAATGGGGCACTAGAATTTGGTTACAGTAAGATTACGGTCACAGTACATTACCGTCCGTTTCCHACTCATACGAAATCCGCTCTATTTGTTGTGACGCAACTTTAGCAGTGGGACGTCATCATGAAATTTTAATTTTAAAATGCTAAACGATTGTGATCTTAGTACCAGTGATGAAAGTGTTGAGTTATTCTTGACAAATCTGTAAAAATGTACATTGTTATAAATAAAGAAATAATAATTCRTCAAACGGCTATAATTATTTGATGATAATAGTTTGTACTCAGGTACTATAAGGATTGAACAAAGTGGTAAAATAGGAAATCATCTGAGCAAAGAAATTTCATTCCCACAAGAGATCAATCAATCAATGAATTTATTTCATGCATAATCATTATTATACATCCTTACATACTTATTATATACAGCCTTTTGCAAAAATTATGAGAATTGTTGAAATATCTAAATATCATAATTTAATATCAAGTGCATGATCCCGCGCGATGGCCTTAGTCCCTTGTCTTTGTTGTTTAGTTTTTTTGGCGACAGACTTATCCGTAGTTCTGAACATTTTCTCGATGTAAACAATGAATTATTCTAGTAAACCCTCGTGTTCCGGACAATATGTGGATATGGATATTATGATATTTAGATATTTAGACAATTCTCATAATTTTTGCAAAAGGCTGTATACTAATTTATAGAATAATAATTTGTAGTGATAAAGAATAGGAGCCTATGGAAATCAAAAAAAAAATGTGCTATCTAAAACACGACTTTGTGCAAAGGCAGACTGGGGAAGGGAAGAAAAAACTCAAAAGTATACGGAGACATTGCAACATTCATCCGGATAGTAGTCTCAACTGTTTTTTTCTGATTGTAGGTCCTTTTTGTTGAACCAGGCCTGCATGGTCATTGATTGATCCCATCGTTATAATTAGTGCCATTACATGAAAACATGATCATACAGCACCCAACAGCTCCATTTTGAGAATGTTTTACTACTGAGAAAAGAGCATGCGGGCACCTTAGAACAATAGAAAGCCTAACAAGTATTTATCATAGAGTGCACGCCACAAAAGTGTGAAACAATTCTTAATTAATTAGCGGCTAACAAGACTTAGTTATCAAGTAACTAATAATTTAGTGAGGCGTAAACAAAGACAATTTCATTTCTGGCATTGTGTTCATGCCCCAGTAAATTCTTAGTTAGTTGATAACTAAATCCTATTCGTTATTGATTGTTAAGAATTGTTGCACGTTTTTTTGGCGTGCACTCTAATATAATGCTTGAAGTAAGTACATTAAATTTTGCATTTGAATGTCAAATTGGAAGACTATACCTGAATATCTTGACACAAATTGAAGTGGTTTGAATTCGCCTCGACTGTTTTCCTTTGGGAGCTTTGTTGATCGAAAGGAAATTCTTGGACAAATAAACCTGAAGACAACTCTGATTTATCTCAGCCGAATAAACTCAGAATTTGATTTTAGGATTATCTCCATCAATCACGTGGTATTATACACAAAAAAGCTCCATCAAATATTGTGCCATTTTAATACTCGATTTAGTCCCTACAAGCGACGCTCGTTGAAAGACCGTTCAAAGTCCAACGGCAGACGTTGCAGTATTTTTACGCTTGTTATGGGACAATAATGAAAGGATGTATTTGCAAGGTACCTGAATAATGCATTTTTAAGCATTTGGAGGGTATAAATCCAAGTCACGAAGAAATGTTGACTTGTGRGACAACTGATTGGGTTCGTCTGTAAAAGACCCGCGCCCAATGTTGATCTTCTGGCCTTGGAAATACATTCTGTCTTTTGCCAGACAAGGCTAAAAATTACGATGTTTTAAGTAGAGATAAAGACGGACAAGAAGAATTTGGCTTCATATGCCCGTTTGGCAAAAGACTTTATTTCTTCTTTTGAGTAAAGTTTTCGTGGTGTCGGTGTTGTGGGTTTGTTTTTGAAGTACCCATGATGCCGTTGGGCCGTGTGAGACAGGGAGCCCGTGATCTGAGTTAGGTCGTTAGCTGTAATTAATTTTTCCGGCTTGATAGATGATTATGATAGGGAGTGTTTATGTTAGGAACTAAGCACTGTTGGTGGTGAATTGACTTTCTAGCGATTTGTTGGCTCCTAGAGGAGCCGTTTGTTTTGTTGGTATATACTAGGTAGCTTGAGATTAGGTCTTCTTTTCGGCCTTCTTGGGCAGCAAAACAGCCTGGATGTTAGGCAAGACGCCTCCTTGAGCAATGGTGACGCCTCCCAGCAGTTTGTTGAGCTCTTCGTCGTTTCTGATGGCCAGCTGNTCACGGTTATTAAAGTGCTTTAGTGTACTCCTCCCGAAACTCAGATATTCCTTAAACCCTCCTTCCTTGTTCCGTTCGGGAAGGGAAATTCAGCGTGATTGATTACTGTTTTCCTGTGGCAACCTTTGCCAACGTTCGCTCCTCCTGCACGGCTCGCAAATACCGACGCACGGACCATTTCCACTGAAGGCAACGGTCCGGCCCAGCTGGTGTCTTTTCCCTCCCKATCAAAGTGCATARCAAACTTATTGCCATACATCGGGTGACATTTGATTAGATGTCTTAGATTAGATCTTTTGATATGTTATAAATGAAGAGGCCGAAAAAGAGCACAAATACGCCCATTTTTTGAAGGAATATATAGGTTCATRGGTCATTTGAAAAGCYAAAAGTTTTCAGATTTTGTTCTCCGACACCCTGGGACTCTTCAACAATGGCTTTTACTTCAATAGCCTTCAAAAGAATAATCAAAAGAATAATCAAAAGAATAATCTTCTCACGAAGAATACACAGAAAGGTCACGTATATAAGTGACGATAGCGTAACTGTCTGCCAAATTCTACGCGAGGGTGACTATATATTGCTATGGAAAAGAAAAGTGTGAACAACACAAACGAGTCAAAAAATAAGAATGGAGGGAAAAAAAAA